AGAAGAGACAGACAGACAGACAGACAGACAGACAGACAGACAGACAGACAGACAGACAGACAGACAGACAGACAGACAGACAGACAGACAGACAGAGAAGCAGAAAGCAGGAGGGTAGAATTTTCAGAAGAGCAGAAGAGTATTGGACAAAACAGGAAAATAGACACAAAAAACATAATATCTCAGGTTGAAAAAACAAGACATGTCCAGCACTAAGACCAGTGCCAATCAACTGTTTATAGACACTGTTTCTAAGGAACCCACCATCTCTCATTAAATCATCCCCACTTGTCTACTGCACTACCCACTGCCCTGAGGTCAGAGAATGCCAGTCAATATTCTCAATTTGTTTCTAAAATTTACATAAATAAGTGTCTTCCTGGCCAGTGCGGTCATTAATGCAAATTGAATTATCTGACACATATCTTTAATCATAGGTACGGTGGGCACGACATTTATTCGATATTCATGGAACTTTGAGGGACACATTGCAACTTGTTCTTAATATGAAAAGGACCAGATAGCATAAAAACTATCATAACAATCTACATTTTTCCACTAAAAGAAACATTTCAAGTTCTTTTTGCAAATTAGCAATTTAAATGTTGCACAAGATGTAAAAGAAGTCATTAGAACAGCAAATGTTTTATTAGCTTTAAACTCAAATAGAATATTGAAGAGAAGTGTAACCTAAAATTTCACCAAAAAAAAGGGAGGGGAAACTATAAAAGCATAGCCAAATCTAGCTTGTACTAGCAGATACAAGCAACCCTAGCTCATTACGTAAATACACAAGACATACAGAGTGTATAAAAAAAAAGAAAATAATAGAGGTACCAATCCAGATATATCACCAAAAAAAAAGGGACAAAAGATGGAGAGAAGACACAGTTTCACCAAGAAGAAAGATATATGAAATGGATGACAGGGGTTCCATAAAACAATGATAAATACCCAAAACAAGAAAGACACAATTTAATGTTGCAAGGGACCAAGAGAGATTGATATTTAAAAGTTAAAATTTTTTAAAGTAAATGTTTTAAGATGAGATGATACTATTTTTGTTTTTGATTAATCTACATCTTTGCTTTTAAATAGAAATGCAAGTTTTTATCTTGAAATATTTTCAATGTGATGTGTGACTATGAATATAGCTTAAGGGAAAGCATGCATGAACTGCTGTTTGATATTATAAGCAATGAAAGAGGCTATAAAGTGCCTTTGAACTGATGAAACAAAATTGATTGGAGAGTGCACTCTGAAATCTCAATCTACTTTATATTCCATTATAAAACTGATTTTATTTAAACATGGAAAATACCTTTGCTGTTTCAGCCACGCGTGAATTATCATTGTTCTTTTTCAAATTCTCAGATTTGCTTTGAGAAGAAGAGGATGAGGATGAGGATGAGTTTTCGATGATTTCAATCTTCATTTCATTCTTCTTCTGCAGGTTGGCCCTCCAGGCAGGAACTTTGGCTGTGTTGGTCGTCTTCTCCTCCTGCTTCTCCGGAGCACCGGTAGATGTGGCCTTCATGGAGGGTGATTTGGTGATGCCAGAGGAGCGAGACGACAGGGACGGGGAGGTGGTGGAGAGCTGGGGGCGGGAGGCAGGGGAGGAGACAAAGGAGGAGTGTGACCGCACTGAGCTGGCCCGGGCAGAGGGAGTTGTTGATGATGAAGATGATGATGATGATGATGATTTTGAGGGTGTAACAGATGACGACACTGAAGCAGCTACAGGGTTTGACGATGATGACACTGAAGCAGAGGAGGGTACATTGCCCGAAGCCGGAGATGAGGAGGAGGATAAAGACTTCACACCAGAGAAGTTTACAGGTTTTACACTCGGGGAACTTGAAGCAAAGGAGGATTTCACACCAAACTGGGAAGAGGAGGGTGGGTTTGCAGAGGTGGAGGATGATGACGCAGAGGTTTGCACACCAGAGGGTGGTTTAGCAGAGTTAGAAGCAGTGTTGGTTTGGGTTTTGGTGCCAGTAGATGTGCCCAGCCCACTCTTGGAGCTGGAGGTAGAGGCAGGGGTGGTAGCGGAAGAGGAGGAGGAGGAGGAAGATGATGTTACCGCCTGTGCGTGATAAGACGTGCTAGAATTTGACTGAGTTGCGTGCTGGGAAGAGTGAGGTGCTGATGATGATGCTGATGAAGATGAGGATGTGGTTCCAGAGGTGTCTGTTTTCTGTTCCAGTTTCGATGTGGATGAAGCAGATGTGTTCGCTCCTCCAGTCCTTGGTGGTTCTGACAACTGACTGAAAGTGGATGAAACTTTAACACTGCCTCCTCTGTTAGGGAACGCAGACCGACCCTCAATAGACTTTGTGGGCGAGGTTTTGACACTACCACCACGGAAGTGACCCACACCAGAAGGTTTGACTCCACTGCTCTCTGAGGCCTTTTTCTCATTATCTTCACTGACACTAGAAGACCAGTTATTGCCGGAAATGCTGCCAGCGGATGAAGAAAACATCTTAGCTTTGTCAGAAGTAGAACCAGCCGTATTTGTATTGTCCTTCTGACTCCCCACTCGGTTAGTGTTCTCACCACGACTGCTACTACCAAATGTACTGCTAAGAGCTTTTACTGAACTTAGCTCAGAAATGTTAATCTCAATACTCTCTCTCCTGGTAGAGCCAATATCAATGCTCGGACGTTTAGTGGAGCCAGCGTCAACACTTGGTCGCTTGGCACTTCCGTCGTATGAAGGATTGTCTGTTTTCTTTACAGATTGTTCATTTGCCTCTTTCGCTTTCACTGAGGTCGTATCAACACTTCCTCTCTTTTTCTCTAAGTAACTTGAGGAGCTGAACACCGATTTAGGAGTGGAGGCATTGCCTCCTGCTTTAGCAGCAGACGAAGCGGCAGCCTTCGCAGAGTCTTGTTTAACAGAGTCGACAGTTTTATTTTTAGCATCCTCAACCTCTGCTTCACTTTCTTCTTTCTTTTTGCGCACCATACTAATCCATGATGGTTCGCTTGAAGCTGATGAGCCAGAGTCCACTGATGAGTATCTAGAGGAGTCCAGTTTCCTCACACTGGAAGAGGTGCTGGTCTTAAGCCCTGACGTAGCAGAAGCTGTTGATGTGGATACGATAGATGCAGCAGAAGTGGTGCTGTTCTCTGAAATGGTGACCACAGGCTCTTTTTGGGAAATCTCAATCTTAGCTGGGGAGCCTTGTACTCTGTGTGAGCTGGCCCGCTGCACTCGAGGGGATGCCTGCTGCTGGTCTTCTGTTGTCCCAGGCAACGTCTTACTGCGGTTCTGTCGCTTCAGTTTATAGTCCTCTTTTGGTGAAAGTGTGACATTAGAGTTCGTATCTGACACCTTCAGAGAAGGACTCTCTGAGGCAGACGATTTGGAGCTCCCTCCAAACGCTTGAAAATTGGACATTCTTGCCTTAATATCCACAGCACACTTTGCGTCATCTTGCTGCTGCTGCTGTTTCTGGCCGGAGGTACCAACTGGAGGTCTGCCACTTGTGACCTCCGCCCCTCTGTCAGAGGCAGATGATACATCAGACTTCTTCTCACTTAAACTGACCGAAGGAATGTTGTTGCTGCTGCTGCTGCTGCTGCTGCTGTTAGCTGTGGTCTGACTAGAGGCCTGGGGAGTTTGGCCTGGCCCTGAGGCCCCTGCAGACGTTGGAGAATAGACACCACTGAACCTCTGTGAGCCCGACAACTTCGTGCTGCTGTTTGAGGAGGCAGCAGTCACCCCCTTTGGTGGAGAAGACGACAGGCCAGAAGAAGGCGGCGCCGCTGTCGATGGTGATGTTGCTGGTGATGATGCAACTGTTATGGAAGACACCTTAGCTTTGGTAGAACCAGAGGAGCTGGCCGGAGACTGACCAAACGCTGACACCTGGGACTTGTCGTCCGACTTGAGAGCTGTGGGCTTCACTGCATCTTTGGTGACTGGGGATCCTAGGAAAGTCGAGAACATTTGTACTGTATTTAGGAGCTGTTTAATTTCTCTCTCTCTCTCTCTCTCTCTCTCTCTCTCCCTCTCTCTCTCTCTTTCTCGCTCTCTTCTCTCTCTCTCTATCTTTTTGTCACTTACATAGCATAAAACTAATTAATTGAATTTATCATCACCTCCAGAAAAAAGCCAGGACAACAATATAGCTTAAAAAGCAACAAGCTCCACACCCCCTCCCACATTCTCTGTGACAATGTTAGGTTATTCTGCATTGCACTCAAAAGTCTTGTGTTAGATTCTCAAACAAGGAAGTATTTTTGTTGTTGAATATCTCCATCTGTTGGAATGTTGTACTTCACTGACAGGCAGGAACAAAGCAACCAGCCCCCCAAACGGTCTATATGTGTCAATTGGGATGTAAAACACTTGCAATTATCATATCGACCCGGTATGCCCATCAGAATTACATGCATAATGACATACCTGATGGCTTCAGAGAGGGGATTTCCTCTGGCCTTGACCTCGTAGGGGACTCCTCATTCAGACTGGGCAGAGACAGGGGAGATGCACTCTGTGGGTACAACAATAACTGTAGGACAAAACCAACAATTTCATAATATGCTTCCTCTTTTTATACTGGCAGTACAGATTTCAAATGAAACCCTCAGCAGCATATTAGTTTTAGTAGTTAGTTTAGTAAGAGTTTTACCGTGCTCATGACTGCATAAGATCATATGAGCATGCAAAACACAAGTGGGCATATTTGTTTGACATCCTGGCATCGGTATTTCTGCTGTTGTTCCTTATTTAGCTGTATTTTGCAGTTAACTCATTTTTATCTAAATACATTTTTTTCACTGTACTGACTGGATCCCAGTTGTTTTGAAAATGAGGAGGGGGAAGGGAGGGGGGGGGGGGGGGGGGGAGGAGAGAGGGCGGAGGGAGAATCCCCCCTGTCCTCCCCTAGAACCTCAAAGCGGTTTGTCAGAGGGGGGGGGGGCATGACAGCATCAATGATAAATGAACCGATTCATAAAAGTCCACCTGAGAATACGGCGCTTTTTTCTTTCTTTTTACTTTTCAACATAAAAAGGAAACCATAAAAACATATATAGTACTGTTAAGATGAGCTTTCAAGATTTGTAAACTTTTAACAATGATGTTGGTAAAACATTTCTGGTGGGTTAGCTTTTCCACACAGAATATTACACTTCAAAAGGAAAGATAGATAAATGAATTGAATGCTTTCATTTCATTGCAAACCTTACTCATTTACTTTGTCGATTACAAATTTACTTAGCTCATTGCAAATGTATACGTTTACTTTATGTCCAGTATGAATTTATAAATTAAAATTAATTACTTTCATTATAATAATATTTATCAATTTTCTTCGTAAAGCAAATTAAACAAAAAGGTTTGACGAACTGTTTCTCTGTGGAAAGATTGAGGGAAAAAGAGCAGAGAAAGACAGAGAACAACATACACAGATGGCCAGAACAATTTTTTGACAAACAGCATAACAAGAAAAACTGAGCTGATCAAGAGGATTGACAACAGGAAAGAATGGGTTACCATGACCATCAATGTCTGCTCCAGACCTGTCACCTGAAGAAGAAGATCTCACCTTAGGTTACCAAAGCATTTGGATCTCTTAGAAGAGTATTCTTTATACAAGACGTGATCGAGCCTGTTCCTTTCATAGGCAGAGCAGACTTACCTCTTTCTTCTTCCGTGACTGACGGGTAGCTTTACGGCCCTTTGGCTTGATGGACATTCTGTCTTTTAAAGCGCTGCTCTTCAACACCTCTGTCTTCTCTATGCCAGTGAAGTCAAGAGAATCCATCTTGGCTTTAATACACATCAAAAAAAAAAGAAAAAGAAAAACGAAATAAGTGGTGCAAAAAGAAATCAATGTTCTCAAATGAAAAATCCAGTAAAACCTGCAAAAAATAAGTAGCCTACTGTAGTTGAACTTACTCGGGATTCAAACATAACAATCTGTGATCAGGGTAATGCAACAAGAATTTTTAAACAAAGTAAAGGAGACAGATTATATCTAACTGGATTTTTTTTTTAAGAAGCAAACAAATTAATTTATCTCCAAACATTTCTGGGCTGTCGTGTCTTTCCAGTAGGCCTACATTTGTCCATACTAAAAACAAATTTTAAAAAAGCAAAACAAACAAATAAACAAAAACATATAAACCTACCCTTGATAGGCTAACCAAATCACGAGTTCATAACATATAACAACAGAGCTGTAAACCTTTCCAGGAAAAGAGAAACGAAGACAAAGACTTAAATGATCTTGACATATTGTGTGAGGTGTATATCTTTTGAACAGACCTGAGAAGGAAAACGCCCATTAAGTGACAATTCTTACAGCTGTTTTCTTCGTCTTCTGTCACTTTATTTTCTCCTTAGCACTTGCAGCTAAAGCTAAGATTGTCTACAGCAAACACGGTAAGGTCGGCTAAGGAAAGAAATTCTTCGCAAACACAGTCTTTCTTTGTTGACGGAGTCCACGAACTATTCGTCCATTACAGAAGTATGTCACGGCTTAAGGCTCTTGCAAATAAAATTTGAAACCTTGCGTGTCAACAGGGAAAGAGTCAGAGAAAAAGAAAAAGAAAGGGAAAAGCCCAGACAGAGCACAGGAAGAAAGATTATAAGAGACAGGATGAGTCGAGGAAGAAAGATAGATAAAATAAGCGACTATTATTATGTCTGTTTGCCACACGTCGTGGTAAGATCGACGAGTAATTCACTGTTTGGGCGTGCAGCCTCTGAATTCATTCACCATCCAGCTTCCAAGTTAAAAACACCAAAAGCGTCTATAAAAAGGCAAATGGCAACACTGAAGTGAGCATTATCTGTAACGTCTTAATTGTTCCCTCGGTGACATTTTCAAAACGAGAGGAAATCTGTTGACGTTGCATTTCACAGACAGTTCACATAAAATACCGAGCACAAAGACATAGTACATTACTAGTTTCCATGGCAATTATTTATCGATTCTCGGGCCTGCAAAATCATGAAGAATGTGTAGGACTTCACAAATAACACCTGGGCCATAGAAATAGCAGACAATAAACTAAAACTGAATCATTAACAGATTTGTCCGACACCTATAGTTTTTGCAGGTAAAATTTGAGCCAGTTTTTGTCATTATCAAGCATGATAGGGCTTCTCAGTTGAGGCTATTTGAGAAATACCTCGCGTGGAAAGAGCAGTTTTAGAAGGATTTATGATAGATTTTGAAATTCATGAATGTATTAAACATAAGAAACAGGCAATCTTCAACAACGAGAACTATCACACTTAAGTGAAATCTGCTGAACATTGACAATTTAATCCTCTTGAAGAATCACTCAAAAGTTCGGTATATAACAGTGTTTGTGAAAAGGCTTATGATTTCTCTTCAACGTGTAGTAGTAGTAGCAATAAACCCAGCCAATCTAGAACTAGTTCCCGTTACTGTAACGCGCAAGGGCCAGTGATACAAAGGGTAGGGACTTCAGCCCCCCCCCCCCCCCCCCACCCACCCCAATTAATCTTTGACTAATATCTTTTTCAGAGGTACGGAAATACTTTTGAGAGAAAACAAAAATGCTTTTCGTCACTTTAAACAGCTTTAAATATAGAGTTATAAGTGTAACTGAACGTGGTGGTTTCAGACAAACACGGGATCGGCGCATATCGCGTGCGTCGACTTCATCTTCTCTATGAAACAAAAGCAGAATTGTTCCTTTTAGACCCCAGACACCAATCTCTTGAGCAGAGTAGGTGAAACATGGGGCATGCTCAAACAGATTGAACCAGCAGTCAAAGTGGCATCATGTAATTCGCGTGTCTGCGCGCAAATGCACATAATACACGCCAGCGAGTGCGCACGCACGCACACACATACACATACACACACATACACATACACACGTACCCATGCGCGGGGGACACACGCACGCACGCACGCACGCACACACACACACACACACACAAACTTGTGGCAATTCCAAGACTGCTTGTAGTCAGCAGCAACAATAATAATTATTAATCTCTTGACCTTTATTTCTGAGATCCACCCTCCGTTACCCCTTCACCCCTCCTTTTTGTTTGTTTGTTGGTTGGTTGATTGGTTTTGTTTGTTGTTGCTTTTTTTTTGGGGGGGGGGGGTATTTTTCGTTTTTTTTTTCTAGTGTGCTTCTGCTGAAATTCCTCCTGCAAACGTTCCTATCATCCCTACACCACAAAGCTGAACTCGGTCGTACAAGTGCCTGCGTGTCCTACTCATTCAGAGGAAAGCATCACCACACTTTTGGAAGATGACGACCGCTTGACATTTTTCAACCGACAGAGACAAAATCTGCAAAATTCTACATTGATTTTTTCTATTTACAGCGAGGAACATTGGGATGGACGCATTATTTCCTTGGGAAAATAAATACCAAATCAATCCTTTTGAACCCAAGCGGAATGTCAATAACACAATAACTTCTAAACGATGCATGACAAACGAAGACGATTTGATAGATATTCTAAAAAGCAACGTGCGCATGTACCATTTTATTAATACAGTTGGGATGTAATGTCAACCCAAACCAAAGGCACTCGCCAAGTTTGTGAGGGGAAAAAGGGAAAAGGGTGGGGGGGGGGGGTGGGGAGGCAATTTACTGCGACCTAGAGGATACTGACTTTAAAATGATGTATAATATGTACCATCTAGTCATCTTATGATTTAATCTAAAGTAGCCAAGGGCACTCACAGTTCATGACTGCAGAATTGAAAGGCCTCATCACACACTTATTTAAAAAAATAGCAAGCACATAGTACAAAAGACACTAAACTATCGTCTTGAGATATTACATAAAGAAACAACTTCGGAGAGCTGAATTTTCGGACCAGGCAAGATTAGAACAACATAAACTATGCTTATAAAGTATTATGTTTTTGACCCTCCATCAGAACAGATTAATGGTGTGTTTTGTGACCAGCTTCTGTGAACAAAATCTTACACATAGCTTCCTTTCTCTCTATATAATATAAATCTATTCATCTCTCTCCCTTTGTCTCTCTTTATCCAGCTGTCTGTTTCCCTTCGTCTGTTTGGTCTTTTCTCAGTCTCTCTTCCCCTCTCTCTCTCTCTCTCTCTCTCTCTCTCTCTCTCATTCTCTCTCTCTCTCTCTCTCTCTCTATCTATCTATCTATCTATCTATCTATCTATCTATCTCTCCCTCCCTCCCCCTCTCTCTCTCCTCCCTCTCTCTCTTTCTATCTCTCCCTCTCCCCCTCTCTCTCTCTCTCTCTCTCTCTCTCTCTCTCTCTCTCTCTCTCTCTCTCTCTCTCTCTCTCTCTCTCTCTCTCCTCCACTCTCTCGCTCTCTCTTCCTCTCTCTCCCTCCCTCGGCCAGTTACCTTGACTGAGACTGGACTCGCTGTTAGATTTTCTAGAGGGGACGGAAGCTTTCCACTTGGCTGTAAACAAGTCCTCCTGTGAGAAGAGAAAGTAAAGATTTTAATTCTAGCTTTCGTAAGGAGTTTTACAGCACTTGTAACACAAAAATTGGTCATATCTAGTGCTGAAAATTACGGAAGTTACTAGAAAGTAACAGACGAAGAATATAAGGAGGGGAGATAAGGACGACAGTTGTTTGATAGGAAATATAAAGCAGGTTATACCGGAGCACTCGCTACCCACCCACTAGTTCTAGTAAAGAGAAGAACATCGTTACGATACCGGTAATTCAGTTTGAGTTTGAGTTTGAGTTTAGAGAAGCACATCGAAACTATAATGGTCAAGCAATGCCGGGAAAAGATATACAAACATAGGCAATCGAGGGAAAGAAAAGAAGTGGGACCTACCACTGGCGTCCTTTAACAGTCAGTGACCAAAGCAACAACAATAGCAACAATAATAACAACAACGACAACGACGACAACGACAACAACAAAAAAACAGCAACAGTAACGAAAACAACAGCATCATCAACAATAACACGGACAATAACAATGACGGCAATAACAGCACCACCACCACCACCAACAACAACAACAACAAATTTTAGTTTTAGTAAGAGTTTTACGACACTTGCAACACAATACGGTCAGAAAAGTGCCGAAGATTAGAGGTATTACAATTACAAGAGAGAACAAACACAAAAAAGAAGGAGGGGAGAAAGAGACGATAGATTTTTGACAGGAAAGAAAGAGCAAACCACACCTGAGCACCCGCCAACCACTCACAACAACATCAACAACAACAACAACAACAACAACAACAACAACAACAACAACAGCAGCAGCAGCAGCAGCAACTACGACAACAACAACTGACCTCCTCGTTCTCGGAGCTGTCAACACTGATGAGGCTCTGGTCGCTGTCTCGGTTGCTCGACTTCTTTCCGGATGGTGTTGGCTGTTGAGGCCGAGATGTTTGGGAGTGGGAGGGGG